AATAATTCAACATATATATATTGTAAATTTACAGAAAATGAACATACCAATTAATATTATTTTATATCAACACAAACTTGCTGAGATCTGGGCTGGTAATACCCTCGAGGACGAAACGTCCGCAAACAATGGCATCGACCTAGGGGTTGTAAAACTTATCAAAGATACCAGGCTTATAACTTTGTTCACAAGACGCACGTTTTGTCTTTATAAGACTTCTTAGTGGTGCTCGAATTAAAACAGATCCAACCCAAAATCAAATACGAAGTTGTTAAGCTCTAAATCCCAAAACTTCCGAAAAAGTTGTGCTGAATACGGATATCAATCCCGACAATAAGATAACCAATTTAACTACATATTAATCTATTATCTGCCTGGCCCCATTCTAAATACGTGTTGACTGATGCTATTACATTAAGAACAATATAGAAAAATATCTTGTCGACGAATGCTCTCACACTTCCGATGCACCTGAGATCTTAATTTATTTGACTAAACTATTGTCTATTTTTGCTCTTCATGTCATCAGTAAACATCAATACAACAACATATGATGATTTCATATCAATCGAGAATATTGGAAAGGAAAGAATTAACAAGAAAATTATGTCAATACCAGATTTAAAATAAATACCTGATATACCTTGGACAATCTTATTGACTCTGGAAAAATATTTTTTGAACCAGAAGAAGCACCGTAAAATCTGACCACTGAAATGCAAGAATATATTAGGGGTTTACAAAAAAAACATATGAAGAACAACAAATACAGAAATAAAGTACTGCACCAAAGTAGGAAAGAATTTAAAACTTAGATGATACATATAGAGAAACAGCATACAAAAGAAGCATCAGAAATACATGAACAGGTTGACGAAAAACTTACTAATATGCAGAAAACATTCTAAGATAACACTGAGTAGGAATTACAATAAAGAGAAGAAAAAGAACAGCATTAGAATAAAACCAAAACGCTTTAGGTTAATAGCGTGAACTAGAATTGATGGTTTATCAGTTGGTACTTCAGGCATATATGGCAACGACCTAGTATCATCTGAAACTACAATACCTAGTTAGACAGTCTTGTTTTAACATCACAGAATTCCAACAAAAGAATAGTATAATCTACCCTTAGTTGAGGACATACATGTTAAAGCTAATAAAAATTGTCTTCTTTTGATGGTGATGCTGACTGGCCTTCATATTATGCGCAGTTTTTTTATCATATTGGACAACGATGCAAATTGTACGAACAAAAGAAATTACATAATTAGAAACTGGTAATTTGATTGTCTGTCGTTGTGATATATCATTAAAATTCTACAGTTCAAGACCAATAGAATAAACGAACTTTTAAGTATCTTGAAAAAAGACGAATGACCAGTTTGGAAGGAAAGCCTTATCACACAGGTTACGGCAACAACTGGAAGCAAAACCATGAGTTGAGGCACCTCTTGAAGAATAAGTAGATATTGTAAATGGTCCGAATTTGATAGTCACTAAAATTTTACAGTTCAAGACCAATAAATATAAAACAGAACTTCCAAGTATCATGTAAAAAGATGAATGACCGGTTTGGATGGAAAGACTTACCTCATATTTTAATGCGACAACTACAGGAAGCAAAACAACGAGTCGATGAAACTCTGGAAGAATTTGTAGATAGAGTGCAAGAATTAGCCACAGATGGATATCCCGGGTTGCCAGATTAATGTATTCAAATTTTAACTGTAGATGCTTCTCTAAATCTCTAAAAATAAATACAATGAAAAACAAGCGGCATCAGTAGCTATAGATAAAAATCCGAGTTCTTCGGTTTAAGCATCTCAGTATATGAAATGTGCGATTACAAATCATAAGTTGATAATGAAAAATAAAAGACCAACTGATGTAAAAAGGGTAAAATATGAGGAGCCATCAGAAGTTAAAGGCTCAAAGGCTGTAATTAGAGTTGTTTATAGACTGCAAACACAGTCCTCAGATCAAGAGTTATTCAAAATTGGAACAGGGACAATAAAGAAAAATGAAGAAGACATATAAAAAATGAAGTGGTCATTGTCACAGATGATAAATATCATAAACCGAAGAAAACGTAAGATCCAGATCTTCAGCAGCTTTTAGTAGAAATTCACCAGTCCCCAGTTAAAACAGGAAAAGATTAAAGAATAGTACCCTTTCTTTTATAGGACTGTGATGCACTTTTCGGCATCTTATCATAAAAGTAATATAGACACGAGTAGGTCATCATCGCCCAGGGGAAGAAACACTAATTCTCAGTTAAACTACAACGGGTAGAAAATGTAGGCTTATTTGCTGCTAGATATTTTTGTTTTAGCAGTTTTAACTAGTGGACATATGATTCCTGCGGTGGGGTAAAATAAGGGAATATGTCGTATTGGTAAAGTCACTGTGATAAGTTGGTTTTGTGGTATTAGTAGATAGATTTCGGTAGAAATCAGAAATTAAGATCAGCTGATAGCGGGAACCAAATAATTGTTTGAATAAGTAATCTGTCAACAACCATTGTGTCTCTAAGTCCTTCCTTTGGGGCGATGTATAAGCTTTGGACCTGATTGAATAAAACATGTGTTGGTCTGCCATGTTTCAGCAAAGGCAATACAGTAGAATTAGAAGACAGAAACAATACTATTACTTTAATGCTAGTCTTGGTTATACATAAATGTTATATATTTTCCTCAATCAATATTTGGTTGTAATTTATTTCAAGGAAGAGCATTTTTTTAAGTATTAATATTTGAATAGTCATTTTGTAAATTGATTCTCGTAATGTACTGTTTGGATTAATTTGTTCTTAAATACGATTTGTTTTTTGATAATAATTATATCAACATTCGTCTTATTTTTACCAAAAACTATGCGAAAAAATATTAAAATTATATTCAATTTCTAGTAGTCAAAACAGTCTTGAAAATAACTTACCGGATTTTAAATTAAACATATATTAATGTTAGTTTGCATGCAAGAGTTGCTATTGGAGAAGGATTTGTTTGTGCTCCAAATAATCAAGACAAAAAATTCTCAACAAATGTTGCCTGCTTGTTGGCAATTTTTCAATCATTTAACGAGACTTCATAGCTATTGATAACAGGAAGGATTGTTTTGATGACGAAAAGAACTCACAGCAAATGTACATTATTTTTTATGTCGTTACTTGGACTATATTATTTGAACTTTAATAATTAGACCCACCATTTCCTACTAAATATGTTTTCATTAACTTCAGCCGTGAAAATTAAATTGCGTCAATTATCCTTGTATAAAAATCTAAATCGTTTTGCTTTTGTTATACCGTGTAAAGTAAGATGAAAAGCATATCAATAAACAGAAGTTATTAATTGAATAAAACGTTTTATGGTTTGTACTTTTCTGGTTACGAAAGATTTCACTTAGTAAATAGACCAAATACATTTTAAAAAGAATGGATATAATTGTCATCGAAATCTATTAGTATATACATGTGTTGATAAAAATTATTCACATTTTTTAGCCTGATTTAAAAAAATATAAAGACATTTTATTATTGTTATATCATTTCCTTTCAAGCAAAACTTTAAAGCTAAAATTTAACCATGCAATTTTAGATGTGTAATTTCATATATTTAATTCCTTCATTGGCTCTGAATTTAAGTTTCTGTGAAATTATGGCAATTCCGTCTTCATTGTGTCTAGCACTCGTCATCCCTCGACCATCTGGGAATTTATATATAGCTTTTGTTAGTCGATGAATTTCTCTAATCGTTGGTTTTATCTAGGGTTATAGCACAGTACATGATATTCTTCGGAATGTATATTAAATATTCTGCAAATTAGCTGTTATTCTTCTCCAGGTGGAAACATTTGCTTATTATTTTTGAAAAGTACGGCAGGCGGATGGCTCTATGTGTTTTCGTGCAACAAATTACGAATCTTTTAACAAATGTCTTTATTTGAATCTATTTAATATGTTAATAACTTTGTTACCGATGAATAAATGGAGGAAAATTCCAAATTGATTATGTTCAATTCTTGAATTATGGTCCTTTGTCGATTGGTAAATGGTACTTTATTTCGTTTCTGTGCAATACGCCAATACGGTAGATAGTTGAATCTGTCATGTGACTTCCATCACCACGTGACTAAAATGTAGGCATCGTCACTTCCAACACATGTTGAGCTAACAGGTGAAACAGTTGTGATTTTATACTGCACGAAATATTTGGGAAATTAAAATCTAATAAGTTGGTCACCCTCCCTTCAGTCGTACGGGAATTAAGATTACGTACTTACGGAACATAAATTATTTTTAGACTACCCTGCAGAATGACGATTCTGAAATTTCTTGAAACTTTTAATAGAGCAGGGATACAGGCGCGCCTTCTATCTGGTTAATGACGTCATAAAGGCGTGCGAAATTGACGATCTTTTCCGTTGAAAGACATGATTCGAGAAATGGCCTATAACTTGATAACTGTGTTCAACCGATGCTTGTTATTTTTTAGGGAATTGAAATCTAGAGTGTAATTCCGGAACGAGGCATAAGAGCAAAAGGCCTGTAAAAATATGATTTGCCAACTTTCCGCACAAAACATAAACAGTTAGGTTTGGGATAATTTCTTTTCAGATCTGATGAATGTATCAACACAGGTTGTTCGGTTACTAGAGGAATACGTTGTTATGTAAATTTCTGACTGTCGAGTTTTTGGATAGCGCTGCATGGTAAAATTTACCTTTAAAAGAATCAAAATTTATTTGCAACTGTTTGTGAAACATACTATAAATACTGTGTCAGGAGTTTTATCTACATTTAAAATTTATTACGCAAAAGATACTGACCGTCGGACTGAAAATCAACACACATAATAATAAAGTATACAACCTTATAAAAACCTGATGAAAAAGTTCAAATATATCAACAGTACACAATAATATAACTTAACATAAATAATTCATAACCCATCGATTTATTCAGTATTTAAAGTTCTAAAGTTTTCTTTTAATGACAGTTTTACGAAATCAAAGCTTTTAACTAATGTATAAGCTGCATTATAAAGGATGTCAAATGGTATACGTGATTTTATCTTTTAATACTGATAGTTTGGCAAGTTTATAAAACAACTGGTAGTATAGTTAATGTACGTCAATCCAAGGTAAGTTTTTACATAAAATTATATTTATAATGTTATAGGAGTGACTTCTTTTCTGATATTTTCTCATCAAATTTTGACAAAGATTATCCGGTTGTATAGAAATTATATAACTTATTTCCCTTCCAATTATCCTCAAACAGATGATTTTTTTTTACTTTCTTTTAAATGTTTGTATGTATGTAAATGTGTATGTTTATTTTTGTTCATCCATTGTTTCTAAAAGATTGTATTTGTAGACAAGGTACTTTTCCTCGTGTATAAGAAATTGTTGATATATATTTTTAAGACCGCGTTTGTTTATAACTATCTTGGACTACCTAGGATCGCAAGGGTAAAACCGTAGGCTTAACATGATCTTCTATTTTCAAGTTAAAATCATTCTACTCTATAGACTACGCGTAATGTTCAAGTATAGATGATAAATGTTTCCCACAGTAAATAACAATCTCACAATAAATATTTGACTGTTGTTGACAAAATAATACAAACAACTGTTGATCATAACGAACTCCGTCTATTTAGAATGTATGATTGATACTAATATATACAAGATTTCTGTAAATTAAGGTAACAGTATTTAACCGATGTTCACATCTCGTAAATAGATTAAAAAGAGTAAAATAAATTTTAAGGTAACAAACAAAGCAGTGTGTCTTGCAAAAAAAGTGAAACCGGGTGCGTCGATAGGATAAGCATGTCCTGTTTTGCATGGATCACCCAACTGGTCATTTCACAATCCCGTCAAAATGTCTCAATCGAGAATAGGACAAATTCGATAATAGTATACCAATTCGAGATGGTGACCGTAAAACTTATGTTATGTTGATTTTCAGTCGTTCTTTCTCATAACTCTGTATGAGCAGGGTTTTTTTTTGTGCAAGGAGCAAACTCATGTTTATAACGTTCTTAATAAATTTATTCCATTGCTATCATATATTGAATCATTGTAAGTACTGATATTGGTTTGAACACAAGTGTTCCTGAATAATAATCGTCTTGTGGTGTTGATAATGAATGCCAAGAACAGAATACTATAGCCTCAATGATTTTTTGCTTTTTTTGTATCCAGTGGGATGATAATGAGAGTAATTGAAAAATACAGACTGAAATATTTTAAAACAGATTTGACCGGCGTATTTTCAAGAATTATTTAGTTTAAACGAGAGGCAAATGATTTAGTTTAGATTGCATAAATATGCCATGCCAGGCGAGCACTTGTGAATAAAGAAAGAGAAACAACTGTAAATTAGTTACCTGAATTCAATTAAAAAAAAATGACATATAAAATCTTCAAAAATATTTCTAAAATTAAAATTTAAGTAAAGTTACAGAAAATTTAATTGATTGACTTTCTTTATTTTACCTGTTCTTTTAAACTTATTAGATTCAGAACGAAAAGTAATGACGTTGATATCAAAGTAAACACTGAAGAAGCTGACAATAAAACCATGTTTGATTACCCTTCTTGGTTTCATTTATTTGCATAAAGGAAATAAAGTAGAAATAAAAGGGAGGAAACAGTTCTAATACTGAAGAGGAAGTAAAGTTTGCTTGTCATTAAAGGTATATATATAACTTCTGTCGAGCATGGATTATATTCTTGTATGAAAAACTAATCCAAAATACAAAATAATGAAGAGTTTAAAATAGGCTGTAAAAAGTTCTTTTCATCCGATGTTTTCGTTTAATTTGTTATTTTATCTTTATTTTGGTAATTTTGGTAATAACGTTTTGAGAGCCCTTTAATATGCTTTCTTTGCTCACAAAATACATTAATGGCAACGTAAGCAGTTTGTTGACATCTTATGTCATAGATAAAGACTTCAATAATAACCAAGAGGGACATATGCTGGCAGACAAAATTAGATGAGATGATGTTTTACGTAACTGTTTTACTTGAATTATTCTTTCAGCATAATTTTTAATTGAAAGTCACATTAAACCCAATACCATTGAAATTTCTTACATTTGAAATAAACACTTCTGTGTTGCTAAGTTTTGAATTTCGGTAGAGAATACACTGTTAATATATTAATAGAAAATGATACGTTAATTCTGATAAATTACAAAGAAACGCTTTTTCAAAACTCATATTTATTTTATTTAAGTTTTTGTATGTTAAAATATATTTAAAAATTATAACATATTAGGTTGAATAAATGAACATTTATTGTCAATACGTTGATTATCATATGTTTCAGGGTTGCCTTTGATAATATTAATTGACGTTTCTTATTGTTTGTGAGGTAGAACTTTCACAGCATGCAGATTGTTCGTATGTTCATGTATACTTAGACCCGAGAACATAGTAACTAAGTACAGTATTTCTTTAAAACAAAAATGCAAATTAAAAAAATCTTGAGAACAGTGTACTCTAACTTTTAATATAAACAATTTTATGCAACGAAAGTCTATAATTCAGTTTGACAGCTTTAGACGTACTTATTGTTTACCTTTTTCATCTGGACTAAATCACTACAGTAAAGTCAATGATCCATTTTTTTTACATGTTAATTCATCCCTTACTTACTATTTTATGCATAATATATGAAAAAAAAAATAATTAAGGAAGGTGTATAAAACAATTGCAAGTTATACACTTTCAGCACTGGGGCGTATATTATGTACACAACAAAATATCAAAAAACGATAAATGTGTCCCAGACCATAAAGGGAAAATACATGTAGTACTATTACATTTTCCCAGCATTAGATTGGTCTTTTGTGTACCCAAGGCAGGTGAAGAAAGTCAACTTAGGAGCGCTGTGATTGGATGTAAGGGTACAATATATTTTTTTATTTATCAATGAATAACTGCATTGTGTATATTTACAATATAAATTTTGAAACCCATTGAAATACTTTCCAGAGAATTATTCGAAAAGACTTCTAAAATTTCATAAATTTGGTGTAAAATGACGGTGGGTAAGGACAACATAAACAAGCTCCGTTGGAAGTTGGTCATGATACTATTTGGCTTCAATTTTTAAAACAGAATAATAAACTACCAACACCACACATAACTGTTTTGTCCAGGTTTTTATTATAAAAGTGGTAAATTCAGAAAATATTAGTATTGTCGCCTATGGCAGAATAAATAGTACCGTTTTCCCTATAAGTTTGCATATATTCAAGATTTAGATTTTCCGAAAATGACTGTATGTTGATATTCATAATTTGCTAATGGAATAATGCATGATTTGTATAATTTAATGGTTTGTCCGGCTTACTTCTCCTACAGTTTTCAAGCCAGAACTTTTATATTATATAGATTCCTTGGAATTATATATGTTGGGTACATGGATTCTCTGGTGTACTCCTTTTCAAAGCTACATCGTTTATTGTGCCGATTGTTCGAACGTATATAAAGAGTTGTATTTTTTCGAGATTTGTTTTCCGTAAATTTTTGACAAATTGTAAAATAATGTATGCTGTGTAAATGATTTGTCTAGCTTCTACTAACTCCTCTTATAGTTTTAAACCCAAAATTTTAATATCAATTCTAAGAAATAACATATGCGGGGTTAATGATTTTGACCTAAGTTTGATTGGAAAAAATATTCTCATATATAACATTTTCATTTTTTTTGAGGGGCCTCGATCGCCCAGTGATCTAAGTAGTTATTACTGTAATCACTAGCCAGTCAACACTGAGGTTGTGAGTTCGAACCCCGTTCGTGCGGGTGCACTCGACTCTAATCTTAATTGATTAGGATTGTTATTTTTCCTATCGAAGGTCGGTGGTTTTCTCCGGGCACTCCGGCTTCCTCCACCAATACAAACTGGCCGCCACGAAATAGCCCAAAAGCGGTGCTAAAAAGTGGCGTTAAAACACCAAAAATCAAATCAAAATCAAATATTTTTTTAATTGTTTTGATTGATCAAAAGGCGATGACCAAGGTTTCATATGAATAATTCAAACATCCTTTCCGAATACGACAAAAGTATGTGGTCACGTTGAACGTTAGGGGTCTTATTTTATCTGATGGGTGACAATAAGAGCTGTTCGTTTTATCTAACATGCAATGTTATTTTAAATATTCAAATAATACACTAATGGATAATGGAATGAAATTGAACTTGAAATTTTCATTTAAGCTAATCTGTATGAAATACAAGAAATGCATAAATCATGTTCAGTCTATTATATTATCTTCAGAAATTTCAAATGTAGTATCTCCACTCCTAGTCCGACATTTTACTGGCGATCAATAATATGTGTTCAGTCTGTGTACGATAATTTGTGTATTGGTAAAAAACAGTTATCTTAATTTTAGGAATGTTACAACGCATATAGAAAATTTCTGTATCAAAATTGTTTCTGGAATATCAAACTGAAATAGGTGAGCTGGCGACCAATACATCCGAAAGGAAGCGTAGTACTATCATAGCATTTGCTAGCTTAAAATCAAAGGGACTTCAAAGGTCAACTTTAACATATGTAATTCTATATGCACGTGTACAACTACCGCATTTAAATAGGAAAATAACGGGGAAATGCATTTTTTTCACCATTTCAATTATGCCATCGATTTTGACTTTTGTGTCATTTATTTCGATGCGAAAAAAAAATCAAGGTAGATAGATACTTTTTGCAATATTACCACAACAAAAGTATAAGGTATCCAATTTTACTGTTGACTCTTTTAATAAAGCTCGATATAGAAATTAAAGAGAATACTCTATGATATTTGCATTTGCTTCTGTCCATTTATCTACTTGCTGGAATCGTTCAAATAAAAATTATGATTTGATATGACAAATTTTGGAAACATCATTTGCCCATCGATTTAAACGATATTTCAAAAGTGCCAATTTCAAAACATAACGGACTTTTATTATAATTTTTTTTATGTATTGTAAAAGATGTAAAATAGGCAGTTATGCATCTTTAATGATAGAAATTTTAAATGATAATAACACTTTATAAATAAATTTCATCAATCCGAGTCGCTTTTCATGATCAGGAACGTTCGAGCCTAATGACAACCAGAGATGTA